AATCCAAAGTGTTTTTAAAGTCTGTGCTCTGATTGTGTTTTCAGAATTGCTGAAGCTACCACATACATTTATATTCCATGCCCAGGTTTTTCCCCTCACACCAGCATTTGTTCTTATTGCATATTTGCTCTTTGCTTCTCTCCAGTCTTCAAGTGATATATATATATATATATATATATATATATATATATATATATATATAATGCTTTCGTAGATTTTCACGGGTACAGGAATGCAGGTTTTGGTGTCCTCGGGTGTCTTCCCGTGTAAAAGTTGGGGTGTCTAGGCGACGTTTCGACGAGGTCTCACTCGTCATCTTCAGGCTGGTGCTTTCGGCTTCTTGTTATAAAAAAGCCTTATTGATGTGTCAGTGCTGCCTCAAAGGAAGAGGTGCCAAGAGGGATTCCACCACTTCTACCCTCAGCTTCTATGAGATGGAGGTAAAGATGCTTCCTGTCTGTTATATAAGAGCACATTCATCACTGAGCACAATGAACCTGGGTCTTCATTCGGTCCCCTTAAACCTTCCCCTAACATACACATTTTTTTCACTCAGGGTTGGAGAACTGCATCACAAAAATTGGAGAAGTGCAAATTTCAGAGGTCAGCTACGTTATGCTTTGCATATTTTTTTCAGAGAATGTGAATTAGGTTTGCATTAAAATCTGAACTGAATCTCCACACCCTCCTGCCTATCCCTAGCTACTTCTGACTCCATGTAGCACACCTGCTGTGCATATACATAGTGATAAAAATCAACTGCATACGACAGACTAGCTATGTAAGCCTGAGCTGAGGATGGTGCAGGCATCTCGTGAGTGTCCTAATGCATTTAGAACAAGCACTACAAAAATACTGACTTTGTCAATGGCTCCTCTGAAGAATGATGCTTTGAGAAATGCCAGGCAGTATCTTTACAAGTGTGTACTGGTGTACAGTATGTGTGTGTTCACAGCTAATGAATTCAAAGGCATGAGCTGAAGATTACAAATGGAAGAGCCAACTAGATCATTTTAGGCAGTTGAATCACATTTCCCATCCGTGCCCTGTGATCAAATTAATGAGAAGCAGCGCACATACAAAGCCTCTCTGTGGCACGTATCGGGATATTGCACACAACAAAAGCAGCAAGGGGGAGAAAGCAGTGAGCTGTTGAAGCTCCCCAGGGATTCATTGAGCCTTTGAATTGTCAATATAGGAGTTTCGCTCTTGAAGCTGGAACACTGCAAAAAGGAAAACAAACGACTGACTTGTTTTAGTGTGTTATAATTATGGGATAAATCCAGTCTCATATAACCAGCATGCTTAACTCCAGTTAATGCATGAAGGGGTTAAGACCATAGAGTAAGTTGTCCTGCCAGGCTTAGCTAGGTCACAACCCCTCACCTTGGGAGGAAGGGTTACCAAACTCTCTGTTCTTTTTCTTCCACCATGTGAACCCTACGTGTAAGGTCAAAGTTGAATGCTCCAAGCTTAGACTGCATGGCTTTAGCAAGACATATGAGTGTTTCTATACAAATAATTTGGAAGCAACTTATAAGGGGATATTTTAAAGATCTAACAGCCTGTATTTCCATGCTTTACTTTGCTGAATGTTTTGTGATTATAAATCTCTGCTGGGGTTCTCTCAACAATGAGTACTTGCCCCAAACCTGGATCAAGACATCCAGGGAATTCTCTTCTCCTTTTACCATATTCTATTTTCCCCTTTGAAACCAAATTACAGAAACCATCAATAACGAGAAGCTGCCAACTAGGACACATGTGAAGGAGGGAAGGTGTGTTCACCAAATTGGCTTAATAGATCAAATACAGCCGGGGAACATTCTTATACAGGGGATTATCTCAGATGTGGCTTTTCATGATCCAACTCATTGGTTACGTCGTGAGGTACTGAATCCAATTTTAGATGTTAATTGGCCACCTGGGGCTGCCTTCTTTTTTTTTGAAACAGTGATGTATCTTTGTTGAGTGTTGTCATAACTGCATAGAGGGAAACATGGCCATGACTCAACTGGGATGTCAATCCAGACGGCAATTAGAATCAACATTCAGATCCAGCTCCTGAAAATTGAAACATTTATCCCCAAGCTTGTTATTTAAGGGAAATGCCAGGGTGGGAAGAAGGGCGATTATGGCCGATAGATCTAGCTTCTAATCAGAGGAAAATATTTTACTAGGGCTGTCCAACTGCAGTGCTTTGGGGCATTGTGCAGGATTGTACTGCACATGGAATAAACTATATGGGTGGCACTAGTGACTGTACTACGTTGCACAAAGATTGGGGGAAATATGTCAATTAAGTACTGTATGCGAAAAATATTTGTGAGTGGAAGGAATGAAATCATTACTTTATATCAATGTATTTGGACATTATTATAAACTTATAACTTATTGGGTGTGGTTTTTTTACACAATGAGTGCTTACGAAAACTGATTCTAATGTTAATGCATCTAGCTGGTGATGATTCATTGCTGTGCCTCCCCTGATGCAATTCGTCTCAATTTTAGCTAATGCAATTTTGCTCTTTGCATTATGAAGGGTTGTGTCCAAGAAAAAGCTAGTTATATCCATTCTTGTATTTGTTTTGCATATGCTGCCCCTAAGATTTGGTTTCTCAAAGACTCTTTGCATCATTTGCAGTGGCTGAGGACACAAGAGGAGGACACAAGATGCTTGACAACCATATGTCAGGAGTGCTCTGATGGTGTTTCCTGCTTGGCAGGGGGTTGGACTCGATGGCCCTTGTGGTCTATTCCAACTCTATGATTCTATGTTCTATTCTAAGAGGCCTGCAGCAAAAAAAGCGACGGCTCTGTTCTTCATCAAACATGTGCTCCATCTGCATGTATGGTCATAGTCCTGCCAGGGGAAAAAAAGGATAACCCTACTTAAGATGTCCATGGGAACAGGTCTGGTGCCAGCATCTGGCATCTTCAAGGGCCCCAGTGCTACTGCAGGACTCAATGCACTGATATCTTTACCAACCGCAGCAAGAGAGCCATGGACCATAGTGCCTAGGAGTGATGTTAGGTTTCAGCTAAGGGACTGTGGAATTAGTTGCCTGCTAAACTGGCAGCTAGATTTTAAAAAAAGGGCCAAAACACTTTACCAAGTCTTCTGCCCAAACCTGGATCCCTTTATGGGATTTATAATTTGGAAGTCTGGAATAGTAATTGAAGGGTTCTATGCCCCTCTACCAACCCCTTATTAATTAATTATAATTTCCTCCTTTTCCTCCAAAGAGTTCTGGCTGGTGTAAATGATCTGTTTTCTCCCTTCCCTCCAAATTAGTCCCACAATAACCCTATAATGTAGTTTAGGTTGAAGGAGAGTGACTATCACCCAGTGAACATCACATTTAATTTTTTAAGCAGAGCAGCTCTGGGGGAAAAATAGTTTTACTCTGTTTTACAACTGGCTGGATCATGCCCTACTTAACTGTGAGGCGCTCAGCTTTCAGTGAAGTACATTTTTGCCCTTCCTGTTTTTACAGAATGGTTTAAAAATATGTCCATAATTCAATATTACAAATTCAAAATAGGTCAGCAAACTTCAAGCTATGCACCGGACCCAAACCAGAACCTTTTGGACATGTGAGAGCTTTGAATATCAGCACACTCCACCAAGCGAACACTGTTCAAGTCGCCTAGCTTTTGGTGTCTCCTTCGTGTTCAAAGCAACAGCTGCCTCTAGTGTTAAATGCCTATAGCTACAGTTTCGAAAAATTGACGTTTCTGGCCTTAGAGAAGCTGAACGGAAGATCAACAGGCATTTTGCTAGCACTTATGATACATAAATCACCCACATGGTTTGATGTAGCATCCAACAGGCAAATTACAAAAGAAGTTTAAAAACAGCAGGTACACATGGAGATTATAATGTACAAAGAAGATATTTTCTTAATATGTGAGTGCATTTGCTTCTTCACTGCTCTGAGGTAATATATGCCTACTACAGTTTTTCTTGCCATTTTGTTATCAGGTGTGACTCATGAATCCTTTCCCTGGTTTAAATACTATTATTACTGTCATTTTAAACATTTTCTTGTGCCCCTGCTGTGTAAAAGGCTCTATACAAAACAATTACACTCACTGCCCAGGTTTTTAATATACAGAAGTCAGACAAGGTCCGTTGACATCTTGATCTTCCCTCTTACACTCCACTGATGACCAAATACTTTTAAAGGGAAAGGAGATAGCTGGTTTCAACACTAGGTCTCGAAGTCATTATGTGAGCAATTTGACTTCTGCTACTGCAATGGAACTCAACTCATCTGCTCACACACAAATACAGTCAAACCTTGGTTCTCGAACGGCTCTGTTTTCAAACGTTTTGGATCCTGAATGCCTAAAACCCGGAAATATAATCTAAAAGATCATACACTGCATTATGAACACTAACCAAATAAAACATATTCTCCCATTTTCTCTTTAAGGAGTTATTTCTTCCTTGGAGAAACAGGTTTCAGTTGGGTTGTGACAGTTATGGTCTAACCTGTGGCCTACTCACAGGGCAACATTTGAGATTCTGCCAGGCTAAATATCCTGTGCTTATCAAGTTGTATTTGTTCCATCACTTGTATAATAGATTTGCTGAAGGTTAATTACGCATTTCCCTTTTTAAAAATCCATTGTTCTGCACAGAATTGCATTTTATGAAAACTAAATAAAGAACTTATGTAAGCTCAGCAAAGGAAAGGGGCATTTTGTTGCTAGGGATATTAGCTGTAATACAGTTATTTCACAACAACAGTTCTCCAGACCTGGCATGAATTGTTTTAGATGGTCACAGGACCATCAACACGACAAGCCAAATATTTTATTATATGGCCTGACACTCAAATACTCTAGCAAACGTTCTTTGGTTGTATGATAGGCTTGCTGCAAGGTTTATTGCAATTAGCAAAATCCAGCTCTCCAAACCCTATATTGGACAGTTCATTTTTCTGTCATTTTCTGGCAGGAAGACATGCAAAAACCAGGAAAAAAACAGTCCAAACTTTTAATAATGGATTTTATTCTGGGGGGAAACCCACCACCTTTTATATGAAAGTATGAAATCCTGTGCTGTTACAGAAAATTGACACTGCCCCCTCCAGAATGCAAATTACTACAATATTGTTTTAAATACTATTTCAGTTAAAAGTAGATCGTTATGATTGCCACAAAATTCAGAGGCTAAGGAAACAAGACAAGACAACCTCATGATTGACAAGAGACATTAGTTTAAGTCAAGCATTGGTATAATTTATACTCAGTGAGCCAGTGGGCATTCTGCAAGTGACATTTCATCTGCAAGTGACGTTTGCCATTTGTTGGCCATCTGAGTAATCTTACATCAATTTTTAGTTAGCTGCATCAAACAAATGCAAACACAATCAATCTTCTCCATATAAATTAACAATATCACATCAACATTTTGTAAAGCTTATCCACGCTCAACAACAAATTCATCATGCATTCAGTTTTAATACTTTTCTTTTTACTTAGTCTTGGAAATATACTGTATGTTTCAGTTGCGCCTTTGTTGCACAGGTGGGGTCCTATGCCTGTGTCATAAATGCAAATTATTTACAGAAGAGTCTAGAGAAAATAAACCTCACAGTTTCTATCCTGGAACAGAACAAATATGGACTGTCTACCAGCAATGAGAATGCGGGTCGGAGATCATGTTCTAGGTTTCAGAGGAACTGCTTTCCCCATTGCCCACCCCCTTACTCCTGGTAGACGATATCAGTTCCAAATATTTCAACGGTATACCTGAATATACATTATATTTTCATACACAGAAATTGAAAAACAGAAATTAAGTATTATCGTCTTGCACAGATCTTATACCCAGGTTCCAGTGTTATATGATTATTTGGAATTTTCCAGCGACTTTTCTATGGAAACATCAAACATTGCTATATTGTATCTGCTGGGTTGGAAGCCCCGAATTTGCTAGTTGTGCCTCCGTATTATACATAGAACATCATGTTCTGCAGATTCACAAGGACAATCACGATAATCTGACTTGATTATTAGGCCTACAAATCCATTCAGCAATTACTGTGTTGCCACTGTTGCCATGTAAGCATTGCAGTGCTACTGGGCACAGAGGAATCCATAGCCTGTAGAATTTACTGCTGTAAACTGTAATTGTAGGAATAAATTGGTGGGATTCAAAACATTTAATCGCTTGTTTCCAGAGTTAGAAGAGCCCACGCTTCTGGAAAGTATTAAACACCATCTCTCCTCAGTGCAAAACTGTGAACTGTGTGCTTCAACATTCAAGGATGGGGCTGCTGATAAACGCTTACTGTGAAAAATCAGGATTGCGGTATTCAGCAAGAGGCAGGGGTCGCATTCTAATTCCTTCCTGCAGACTTTCTTCATCTAACAGACACACTGAAAATAAATTGACCTGTTCTTATGATTTAGGACAGAGCGGAATCCCAGAGGAATACATTTATCAGCCAAGCCTGCCAAAGTAATTTCACTCATTGCTGCCAGATTAGCTTACGTAAGTGAAGCTATTATGCATCAGTCCACAGTTTCTATCTTTAGGATAGAGTCAGGTAGCACAGGAAACATTGTGGAAAGCCCAGAGGAGTCAACAGATAAATACTGCAGCCTTATTTACATGTAGGACAGGTATGTCCAACAGGGCGATCGCAGGGGTCCCTGGTCGATTGTGTGTTCCTTGCCCTCCCCTCCAAAAAAAGCTCAGCAACTTTGGTCAATCCAATGGGTAGATCACTGACAGTTTTTTTTAATAGTGGGAGTAGATCACAGTCTCTTGGGAGTTGGACATGCCTGATGTAGGACATAGATGTGTTTTCTTGAAGGAGGGTATATGTTTTTAGCCCTGCCCCCCGTGATGTCACACCTCCTTCCTCAAATAACCAAGTTGCCCACTACTGAACAGAAACTCTAACATGTGACCTCCTGCTTGTCTGCAATTGTTTGAGGAAGGAGGCATGATATGGGTGGGCAGGGCAAAAAGCACAGCCCTGCTACGTGTAAACACAACTACACCCTACATGCAAGTAATGAATGAACAGGGCCTGGGTGGAGTGTAGATGTGCTAGCTCCTGACCCAGAGATCCTACCTGTTATTTGCATTCCCAAGCAGGTGTCCAGCTTATGCTTCACAGCAAGCAGCAGTCAAGTGGAGAAGAATGGGCCACTTGAGCATGAAGCAAGGGCCGGAAGCAAGCAACTTAGTTTGAAGAGCACCTTTGGAGGTTAGGGGAAACTCAGATATATCCCACTGCCAAGTTAATGTCTGTACCATCTCTATTTTGCTTTAGGAACTTTTGTCAGAAGAAATTCAAGCAAAATTCTGACAGGTAAATATCATTTACTCGTTTTATGAGTTACGTAGCGAGCATTACTGCCAATGACTCCCATTTCCTAGGTAGCATTACTGTTGCCGTTTGCCACCCACTTCTATTGCTATAGATGTAACACTAAATCCGCCTGAAAATTGTGTTTATTCCCCTTCAGCGATTGCTAGTTCAAATGAGATTCTATGAATAAAACAGCAGAAGAAGAGCTGTAGGAAATTAATGGGAACTCCCGTTGCCAATTGTTAAAATGATATGACATTATGTTTTAAGTCATGAAAAAAATGTAGACAAGCTTTGTATACGTTAAAACAAAACTGGATATAAGATGCAATTAAAGTGACATACTCTTAAAGTATATAAAAAAAACAAGCACCAAATAGCAAAAGCTAGAATCTGCCTTGACTGGAGCTTAATGAGCAGCTAGCAGAGGCACATTCCTATCACAAAACTGGGTCTGCACAGCTATGGCCACATAAAAGACAAAAAAGAACATGGGCCAAGTAGGAAGCCAACCAGCTATATTATTCAGAGTACAGAAGGATGCCAAAAGTTAATTTTATCATCTTCCAATTATTCAGTCTGTTTTCCAGCTCTACATGTTATAACATGGCCCAATTCATGACATGAGGAAATGGCCATTTGAAACATTTATAGTGGCTATTAACAAATCAACCTGTCATGCAGCAATAATTTGCTGGTTAAATATCAGTCTACTTATGCCACACAATGTGGTGGTAGAAAGGACTGCACCACCTTAGATCACGTGAAACATTTGGAAGATTCCTGTATAGCAAACAAAAAACAAAATGGCCAATAAGAAGTGAGGCCACAACCTCTTTTTGATTTTTTTTAATGTGTGTGTGAGAATTCAAATGTAGTATCCCCCATCTGAAGTGGTATAGTCCATTGTATCACCTGCTGCACATGCAGAGGTAGCTAAGCATCAGCACAGGAGAGAAGTCACTCAATGTGTTAACCATTTACCCTTTGTTGCATTCATCACATTTTACTAAAGTGCCAAAGAATGTTATACAGCGTATGTTCATGCAAAAGCCAGCCACAACCTCCTCATCCACCTGCACAGCTCCTCTACCCCAATCATTCTGCACCCATGGCTGCTTTTCATCAAACACAAATGTACATTAGTAGACAAACACGGCTACCTACCTGAATCATTAGGAGAGTGTTAGGCACGTCCATTGGGTGATGACTAGTTCCAAAGACTCTGGCCACACATTTGCCTCTTATAAATATTGTTCAGAAACAACTGCCTGAGAAACCAAAGAGGTTTTATTTCCCTTTTTAATGTGAGAGTTTATTGCAAACTCTTCAACAAGATCATAACTGTTTAAGTTGTCATTGCTTTCCTCCTAGCAATACTGACGGCACTAGAACACATTGGAATTTCAGCAGTGTCAGAGAAGAAAGAATACTTGAAGTGCTGACATCTGGAGCTTTACTAAAAAAAAAACCCAAACAGACAGGGCCTTTTTTGAACTGCTTGGCAAGCAGCAGCACATTTAAAACAACCAAATTACCACTTCTTGGCTGCTATGAGAAATTCAGATGCCAAAATTTGCATTTGGTTTCCATTGTCTAGTTCAAGTATTGCATGTGATTGCAATGTACGCGAACATGAACAACATGACAAACTGGCAGCTTTGGTAATTTCACAGCTTACTGACATAAGGCTGGACTCAGGCTAACTTAAGTGTCACTGATTGCAATAGATCTACTCTAAACATGAGTCAGTCTAGATCCAACTCTTCATTTTAAAAGTGTAATAATCCCATACTATTACTATAAGAAATGCTAAAATGTATGTTTCTTACAAACTCAAGATAAGCTTGATTAGATATTATAAATTCAGACAAGCAAGACAAGCACTGTTCTAGTGAACTATGCCATCACACACTATGAAATCATCACTGGACATATTCAGGAATTCAACCTCCCTGTAAGAATGGCAAAAACAGTTTACGTCAATGTATCCTTGCTCTTTTGTTGATGTTAACTGGAGATCCCCAAAACTGGGAGAAAGTATCCCCTCTGTAAAATGCCCCCAGCAGCATTCCTACCAAGGAGAATGTTTAAAAAACATGATTTAAGCTGTTCTCCTAATTGGTTGGTGAGCACTGAGATATGTTACAAAAGAAAAATCCAAATCCATACTTTTGCTAAATGTTCAGCACCTTATAGCCACTGGAGTTTTAAAAAAGAGATAAGGTTTTTGTGCATTTGTGACTCCAGCTGCTTTTTTTTTTTTTTTTGGCTTCCCCTTTTTTCTTGAAGTTTCCAGATGAAGCTTTCATACATCTGCCTTTGCTGCTGTACTGGCATCAGCATCTGCATCATCTTCAGAAGGTATGGAGGGAACACTGTCGTGGGAAACAGTGTCAATGCTTTGTGCTTCTGACGGAAGGTGGATGGATACCTCAACAGCTATTTCTTTACCATGGTCATTTACAGAACCATCATCCGAGTCTGCTGTCGGTGAATTACTGCGCTTAATTTCTGGGTTTAAGGGATAGAGTCCGTCTTGGACATCGAGGGCTTGTTTGACTCCATCTCCAACTTCATCAGGGTCATCGACTCTCACTGCTTCAAATATCTCTTCCATAAAGGCCCTACAGTTAAGGATGAGCGGCGGAAGAGGGATGCTTCTGGCTAACTCTTCAATGTATCGAGCAAATTCCATAGTCTTAAACTGGGTGACTTTGGCCAGTTCCAGCGTTTTGGCAGAGGTAATGATTGGAATGCGTTTGGCAATTTCAAAGGCCTTCTGTAGTTTCTCAGCCCCTTCAGTCCTGAAGAATTCATTGATGGCCTTCTCTGTCTTGCGGAGATGGCTGCTCATCATGCACAGACGTGTTATATTTAAGATCAGGGTGATAGTAAAGGCAACCAGGCAGACAATCATGTAGTAAATGCCCATGTCCCCAGATGTGGAGACCACCCTGAGGGTGACTGAGTAATAGAAAGAGCCATTTTGGGTAGTGACAACACAACTGTATCGCCCCCGGTCACCAAAGGTTACACTTGTGATATTAAGGGTACTGTTAGAGATCAGCCATCTTCCATCTAAAACACAAATACAAAAAAGATTTCAACATTGGAGTTACAGATCATACTTGCATCTTTTCTGATATATATATAGGCATGCCCCGTGAACTGCATTACGAAACCAGCAACAATGAATTGGGACTATGGATAACAACATATTTCTGGTCATTTGCCAACATACTAGTCAAGTAGGGTTGAATATCTTTACCTAGCCAAGAAAATATTTATCTCACGTACTTGATCTAGGCTACTGGTCTTCCACTGGTGAGTTGAGACCCACTTCTGGGTCACTGCCTGATCTAAGGTGGGTCACACAGAGGCACTCCCAACATACAAATATATTGTAAAAAAGAAGAAATAGATCTACAAATGCATGTTTGGGTTAGAGCTGGGCCCTGGGTCTGATTTGGGCAGTTGTTTACATTATAATGTTGCTATCCATTTGCAAAGGCACCCATTCCTACAGGGTGGCCCTTCCCTCCAACCCCAATACTGCTTGTGAAAATTATATTGTTAAACTGCAAATGTTTCTATTAACTAATGTAGCAAGATCCACTGGATTGTGGCAGCAGTCAAATGTGTACTTAAAAGCTTGATGGGCTATAAAAGGTGGACACTTGGACAAAATATGTGTACAGTGCTATCTCACTTTTTCATGCAATGTTTTCTGCTTTCCCAATACCCTATTCTGGCAGAACAGCAAAAAGGTAAAAAAAAAGGTAAATGTATTGCTGGATTGGACAGAGCCCAGTGCCATGATGGGGATGCAAACCACTCCCTTCCCCAGTCACCAGACTGATCATTTGATGACTGCATAACAGACAATAACCCCCTCTCCCCAGCTGATCTGCATGGCTCAGCTGAGGTGACTGTCTGCCCGTATGAGATGGTCACATCCTCTGCTGGCATGCAGCCTCTAGGGCAGCGGTTCTCAACGTGTGGGTTCCCAGATGTTGTTGGACTACAACTCCCATCATCCCTGAGCTCTGGCCTTGCTAGCTAGAGGTGCTGGGAGTTGTAGTTCAACATCTGGGGACCCACAGGTTGAGAAAGGCTGCCCTAGAGGTTTGGGTCACCAAAAATTATTGCTGCACTGTCGTCTCCCAATCTAAATGTAAATCTGGGTTTGATGAGGTGAGCATTCTCCCCTGATAAAAACCATGGAATCAGCACATGGATTAAAATATCAAGTAGCTATACTCCTAAAGCAACTAATTCAGAATGAAAACTACTAGCTGCTTGAATATTATGTAACAGTACCTAGATTGCAAGTTGTGTAAATTATAGCCCATTTTGCTTCAGCCAAAATCCAGTACTTTAATTTAAAATAGACTTGTATTGTGTTTTAATGTAGGTATGTTTGGGCAGAGAGGTGACGAACCCTTCAAAGTCTTCTTAAAAGTGACATATAAGAGAACTTCTGTGATCAATACAGCACACCTGGTACATTGTGTAAAGCAAGTCAAACAGTTGTCTCTTACCCTCTCCATCTTGCTTCAGTAGATGCCCTTTTGAGTTGAACCAAAGGATGCTGTTATGCTGACTGATGTTCAGCTTACATTCAATGAAAGCACCGTTACCTTCTTTCACTATGATATCTTGAGGTACTGCCGATTTTGTGAAGGCTTGTAGGGTGGGAAGAAATGATGCATCGAGAGGAAGGAACCTTGACCCAGGAGCAGCTGTCAGGTTGGAGGCCACATTTTCTAGTGCAGAAACACTAGAACTGAGAATCAAAGTCAATAGGCAGCAGCTGAGCTTCATGAAAGCTTGAAGTATAAAGCACGCTGCAAAAAGTTAAGCAGTCTGTATTGCACCAGTCACCATGGAAGATATTGATGGGTTCATCAACTTTGGAAGGGCTTTGGGTTTTTCTTTACAAGTAAAGGAACAATCCAACTGAAACGTAAAACAAAACAAAACCAATGCAAGTCAGGATTCTTAACAATGCAAAGCTTTTTGGCTTTCAAACTCAAATAATTAACAATACAATTCCAGAATGAAATGGCATATAACAGGGAAGGCAAACCCACAGACCAGATTCAGCTTGCCAAGCCACTTATAGTGGCTTCCTTGTCCTCTGTCAAAATCTGCCTCTTCTTACCTTGGAAAAGTGCCTTTGCCCCCTTAAGCAGAAGAAAAAGGCTTCAGAAATAGAAAGGAACACTTATTTTCCTTCCTGTATCAGTGCTGGGTAAGAAAGAGGGGAACTACTCCCAGCCCACTGATGTGATGAGAATGAAACCACCGGATCCTCTGCTGACTGGCAGAAGAGTGTGCAAGGGGTGGGCTGTCTGAATATGTCTGCATGTCTGTCTGCCTATCAAAATGTGTGGAAAGTGTGCACATGCAATTGAGTATGCACTGGTGACTTTAGCCATGCCAGCTGCTGGTATGCAGTCCCCAGAGAGATGTCAACCATCAAAGCAGACCAAAGGTTAGCCACCCCTAGTATAAAATGTTAGTTGTCTAGAGCTGAAAGGAGCTTAAGGTAAATAGGCACAAATAGCAACTTTCCAGGAAACGAATGGGACCTAAAAATGAACCATTCTTTCCTTTGGTAGGCTCAAATTATAAACAGAAACAAATTTAATAGGTCCACTGCATACAACATTCAAGGTTTTGTTCACCCTTGGGTTGAAACTGAAAAAGGCAAACCAACCAAAGGAGCAGCTGCCAAGAAGCAAAGCTTCTTTGCCTGCAGAAGATTGATCACCAAGTAGGGCTGGGAGAGGCCAGAAACCCTGGAAAGCCATTGCCAGTCAGTATAGACAATACTCTCTAATCTTGAACCCTTAATGCTTTTCTACCCTTATCCTAGCTGCTTCCTTCCTAACCACCTCTTTCTGCAATGCTATCTAACTTCCCAGTAATTCAGAGTACAAAACAGGGCAGCTCACGGTGCTACTACATGGCAGCGTTCTCATCAATATCTTCAAAGTGCTCTAAAAACCCAGAGTGAACTAATTCCATCCTGAAATATATGCATCTAAACTACAGCAATATAAATCTAATGAGATTTGGTTCCACTATTCTGCTAGTGCAGAGCTCTCTGTTCTGCAAACCAAATAGGTGGGTGGGCAGAAGTGGTATCAGTTCCAAGCAGGGGTGATACTGAGATGACTTGGGAGCTGTTGGATCTCAAGTACAGATGTACCTTGGAAGCTGAATGGAATCCATTCTGGGAGTCAGTTCGACTTCCAAGGCATGGCTTCCGATTGGCTGCTGGAGCGTCCTACAGCCAATCAGAAGCCTCAGAAGCTGCGCTAGACTTTTGGCTTCCGAAAATCATTCGGAAACCGGAACAATCACTTCCGGTTTTCGATTGTTCAAGAGCCAAAACGTTTACAGGTGTTTGGATTCTGAGGTTCCACTGTAATACCAATTGCCATCATATAACAGCATTGACTCAGATTGGGGTGATGGCTGCAGACTCAAAGCTTTGTACCTACCTGCTTTATGCCACAGCTAGGGCATGCAGTAGGACTGTGATGGCCCTGCCACTTTGTTATGCCTGACCAGGCACCACCTAGGGCTTGGATAGCATCCTGAGGCTATTTGCAACTGGGAAAAATCCAGTTACATTGTCCTTCAAAGACCTGAGATAAATATCAGCAGTAATTGCATATGCTTTCTACTACATTGTACATTGTTTGCATAATGCACAGCAGCAGTTGTGATGGGTCATTGGATTTTGCCATTAAATCCTTCAGTGTTTGATTTATTAAACTGTTTATCCCATTTTCTTTTATGCAAACCCATTACTGTTAAGCAAAGATCTTCTGCTGCAGGGTTTTTTTTTCTTTTGAGGAAAAGAGGTTACATTTTTATGACAGAGCCATCATATTTATATAAAACAGCTTCTGTGGCTGATAAACCACAAGGAAGAAAAGACCATATAATGCCCTACATTTTTCAAGAAAAGCACAGCCATGCATATCATAAAGTAGCTGTTATGAATGAACATTAACACAGGTTCAACATGCTCCATCTGAGCCACAGATGCACTATACCTGAAGACAGATTCAGTCCAGAGTATATGTACTGAGAAGTAGAACAGATGTCTTTCATTTTCATCTGCACACTTACAAACTAACATATGCTCAATTTTATGCAGTGTACAATCACCCGGACTCTCAGAGAACAGAAGGAAGCATATGCTCCTGTTTCTGCAGCACTTTAAAAATATCTACAATATTGCTGCCTAAATAGATAGTGGAAAAGCAAAAAGTTTAGACTATGGCCCCAAGAGAACAAAAAACAAATATTTCCTATGTTTACTGGATGGCGACATTTTATCGAATTGCAGTTATCCTTCCAAAGAGTCTCACTTTTATCAACTTCAGCAACTCCAGTACTCACAGAACTATTTCAAGAACAAGAATTTCACTTAAACACGGAGATCACTGCAAAAGCAAAGGATCTTACAGATATTTGAGTTACCATGTTTCAACCCACCCTGCTTTAAGAGCCCTTAAGAATCACTCGCCACATTTGCTAGTTTACAACATTTCTTTTTGAAAACGAAAATGTCAAAACTGATATATCACAGAGAGTCAGGTGCTGCTTCATTTTACTGCAGTGATCCGGAGAGACAATATTTACAAAGGTGAAACTAGGGGAAAGAGCATACCCATACTTTTGGAATCTATATTTCTTTTTTTTTAAAAAGACGCTGGCACACCAAATTTCCAAGGTGTTTTAAAGCTGAGAGTAGATTCTTCAGGAGTAGCTCCTGAAACAGCCTGATGTTATGTAGAATTGTGCTTACATATGTACAGAATCAGGCTTGAACTCCGAGAAACATTTTAGGTATACATATGAAGGACTGAGAGGGACACAGGTGGTGCTATGGTCTAAACCACAGAGCCTAGGGCTTGCTGATCAGAAGGTTGGCGGTTGTTGTTCGGTCCCAGCTCCTGCCCACCTAGTTATTTAGAAGAGGGTAAGGCTCCTCTCTGGGGGACGCGGGTGGCGCTGTGGGTTAAACCACAGAGCCTAGGACTTGCCGATCAGAAGGTTGGCGGTTCGAATCCCCACGATGGGGTGAGCTCTTGTTGCTCGGTCCCAGCTCCCACCCACCTAGCAGTTCGAAAGCACGTCAAAATGCAAGTAGATAAATGGCGTTTCTGTGTGCTGCTCTGGTTCGCCAGAAGCAGCTTAGTCATGCTGGCCACATGACCCAGAAAGCTGTCTGCGGACAAAACACCGGCTCCCTCAGCCAGTAAAGTGAGATGAGCACCACAACCCCAGAGTCGTCCATGACTGGACTTAACAGTCAGGGGTACCTTTACCTTTATGAAGGACTGACAGTGTTCAACTTTAGACTTTGCAGCTTTTTGAGTGTTTCCAAGACTCCAAGTGACAGGGGCAAGCTGTTTATTTAAGTTCTAAGACTAATTTAATGAATTTAAATGATCACCACACTGATATTATTTATTAGATAATATATAAATATATTCTAGTTCTACATAATATGGAGGATAGTCCCTGCAATTAAAGCAAAAAAGGGAATCTTGCTGGACTACAATTCCCACCATCAACTACTGGTCGTGCTATTTGTTACCGATGGGAGTTGCAGTCCAACAACCATTGTTGTGCAGAAAACTATCCCAATAAACTCTCTACCTAAAATATGCTGTTGATCTTACATACCTGTAATTTTTTTCAACCATATCAGACATTTTTAAATGCAATGCTTATATCCAAGAACTTAAAATGTGTTTACACATGCCTGACACAGATGCAGATTACACCACAGAAATACGATGCTGAGAAGATGGAATAACACAAAGAAAAACGCTGAAGGTTGATTCCAGATTATCTGTTTGTTGAGCATTCATCCTGGTTTCCACGCTTTGCAGGAGTGGAGGGTGTGTGTGTTATACAACACTGGTTGTTTATTGGGCTTTCTTTCTGGTTTGTTTGTGGGGAGGTTACACAACATCGCATCAAGCAATGGTTACGCCAGACTTTCCATCTTCCTATCAATTTTCTTTCCTATCTTCCTATCCAATTTTCTTTCCTATCTTCCTATCAATTTTCTTATCATGAAGTGTGATTTTTGAAAAAGTGGGTTTGTTGAGGAAGAGCACCAAACCCAGGATCAGCTCAAACTGTCTTGTCCTGGTGAGCAACCTGGCTATTGAAGTTTCCAAACCATCTTCACAGGCAGCCCTATGTATAACATGTGGCAGTAATCTAACCTAGAGGTTACCAGAGAATAGAAACAGAAGTTAAGCTACCCTTGTCTAGATGCAGTGCAGCTTGGCCACCAGCTGAAGCTGATGGAAGGTACTCCAGGTCAGAAGCCACCTGAGCCAGAAGTACCCCTGAGCTATGTACCTGCTCCTTCAGAGGGAGTGTAATTCCACCAAGAGCAGGCAACCTCCCATGCATATGATCTAGGGCAGTGTTTCCCAACCTTTTTTGGGCAAAGGCACACTTGTTTGATGAAAAAAATCTCGAGGCACACCACCATTACAGCCCCGTGACGTCAGCGCGCAGCGTCACGCCGGGAGGGACGCACGAAAGTGTAACTTTCAATTTTTTCCCCTCCCCCTTGCCGGGGAACCTCCAAGCTTTGGGGGTGGGGGGGGGAGGAGGCAGCAAAGCGAGGGACTGAGGGACTCCTCCAACGACAAGGGTTGGGGAAGAAGAGAAAGGGCTATTCCGCTCCAGTCACGGGAGGGGAATATGTACTGGCCCAACTGGTGTGCGGTCTTCGGAAAGCGGGGTGCGGGAAGGAAGCCTAGGCTCGGGGTCATAGAATCATAGAATCATAGAGTTGGAAGAGACCACAAGGGCCATCGAGTCCAACCCCCTGCCAAGCAGGAAACACCATCAGAGCACTCCTGACATATGGTTGTCAAGCCTCTGCTTAAAGACCTCCAAAGAAGGAGACTCCACCACACTCCTTGGCAGCAAATTCCACTGTCGAACAGCTCTTACTGTCAGGAAGTTCTTCCTAATGTTTAGGTGGAATCTTCTTTCTTGTAGTTTGGATCCATTGCTCCGTGTCCGCTTCTCTGGAGCAGCAGAAAACAACCTTTCTCCCTCCTCTATGTGACATCCTTTTATATATTTGAACATGGCTATCATATCACCCCTTAACCTCCTCTTCTCCAGGCTAAACATGCCCAGCTCCCTTAGCCGTTCCTCATAAGGCATCGTTTCCAGGCCTTTGATCATTTTGGTTGCCCTCCTCTGGACACGTTCCAGTTTGTCAGTGTCCTTCTTGAACTATGGTGCCCAGAACTGGACACAGTACTCCAGGTGAGGTCTGACCAGAGCAGAATACAGTGGCACTATTACTTCCCTTGATCTAGATGCTATACTCCTATTGATGCAGCCCAGAATTGCATTGGCTTTTTTAGCTGCTGCGTCACACTGTTGGCTCATGTCCACCGGGCGCAAGGTCCACCGACCTCGGCGGAGAAAGGCAACAACCGGAGCCGATGACCAGTGGCGTAGCGTGGGTTGTCAGCACCCGGGGCAAGGCAAGTAATTTGCGCCCCCTAACCCGTGGATTTTAGCACTCGAGTGCGAGCGCGCCCCCCCCAGATGTTGCGGCCGGCCCCCCTGCACCCTCCCATGCTACGCCACTGGGGCTGGGGGCGAGCGAAGGAGCCAAGGACCCCCCCAAAGGCTCAGCAGGAATTTATTAAATTTATTATTTGCGGAGCCCCCGCGGGCCGAGGCAGCCGAAGCCCCCTCCCCTTGCGCGCCTCCCCGCCCCCTCCTCTCCTTGGGCTGTAGGTGGAGCCCACGCTCCGAGGCGCTCCAGATCCGGGCTTGGCGAGCGCCTCTCCTCCTCCCGGCCGGGTCCGGGGGCTTCCAGCCGCGCTCCGTCGTCGCCCGCCCCCCCCCCCCCCCCGCGGCTGAGACTTGCGCTGAGAGCCGGAGCCAGCGGCGCCCCCTTCCGCCGGGAGACCCTCGCCCGCCCACCGGCTTCCTCTCGGAGGGTTTTGGGGAGCGCAGGGCGCGGCGAGGCCCCTCAGAGCTCTCCTCCCTCCCAGTCGGCAGAAGCAGCCGCCGCCTGTGGCTGGGCCGAGGGGATGGCGTCGGCGTCGGGGTGCGGAGGCTGCCCGTGCCCGGCCAGGCGTCGGTGGCAGCGTCGGCGCTGCTGCAGCGGCTGCTCCTCCTGCGAGCAGTGAGTGGAGCGCAGCCGCAGCGGCGGCGGGGGGCGCGCACGCCCTAGGGCGCAAGGCTGGCGGTGGCGGCGGGGAGCCCGGCGGAGGAAGGAACTTGTCCCTTCCCTCTGGACTCGCGCCCCCCCCCGATGTTGCGCCCGGTGCGGCCGGCACCCCTGGCACCCCCCACGCTACGCCACTGTGAGGGGCGCCGCGTCAAGGGCGCCGGCGGGCGCAGCGGCAGCTCCTGTCAGGGCCGGGGGCGCCTCTCCCCCACCCACCCCGTCCGCCCACCCATATCCCGCTCAGGAGGGGCCGGTGGGCTGGCAAGCGCCTCACAGCAGCAGCACCAGAGAGGGAGAGAAGGCCGCCTCCCGCTGCCGCCGCCTCTTCATCCCCAGCAGCAACTTCCCTGCCCGGCTTCCCCGCCGCCGCCTCCTTCTCTCCCTGCTTTGCAGTAGCAACCGCCGCCGCCGGCGGCACACCAGGCAACATCTCGCGGAACACTAATGTGCCGCGGAACACCGGTTGGGAAACACTGATCTAGGGAACCAGCCTCTAACAATGTCTCACTCTTATCTGGATTGAGCTTCAGTTTGTGGTCTCTCTCCAATGCATTACCAAGGCAAGGCAACTGTTCAGCACATCCTGCAAATGGTCATCATGGCAGCAATGAAGTCCTGAGTCACCCCAGAGCCAATCGCCTTGGCATGGATGTTGAAGTCCGCCAGAACCAGCAGTCTGGGGGTCCTCAACACTGCCTTCAAAACCAGCTCCATCACCTCAGGCAGGCAGAGTGCTGGGTAGGGAGACAGGCAGCAAACCAGCAGAATTCCTAATCTGTCCCAATTGCCCAGTGCCAGAAACACACACACTAGATCCCCACACAACTGGACAGAGAACCTGGAGACAGAGATGGAATCTCTATAGACTGCAACAACTCCCCACCCCCAAGTCTGCCCTGATGCTGCCTGAGTACCCAGGTGGGCACAGCTGGGTAAGACCAACTCCACCCTGTTCACCCACCCAGGTTTCAGTGTTACAGATGAGATCAGCCTCCTCATTTGTAACCAGATCATTTCACGGTTTGCATCTAGCTTTCCTTTTAAAACGGAAGCCCAATACAACTAGCAATACAAACTCTATTTATGGTAGGCACTTGGATTATCAAACAGTCACTTTTTCACTGGTCCAACCAGTAAAATTGTGTTCAGCGGAAAAACCAACACTGGAGCCTGAAAAACCAGTAATGCTTCGTGGACTTCTCTCCACCATAGATGCCACCAGGCTCTGCCCTTGGACCACAAGTTTCCACTAACTCCACCCCAAACTACCAGATCTAAACCTGCTCTCTCCCCCCCGCAACTTGTCTAACTCTGTCTTAATTCATTAGGGAACTATAAGGGTCTGCCTTAACCTGCCAGGTACTGTTCTGACTTACCCGCCTTCTACTGAGTCCATGTCACCTCCAAGCCTGTGCAGGCTTTATCTGCTAGCCCTGCTAAGGGCGTAAACACATGTGTGCTATTATTAACACGTATAAAGTGCCTGTGTTGTTGTTGTTTTTCTGAGCAGCAAGGTCTGCAACCTAATAGGCAAGAGGGAAAGGCGGGAAAGGAATAGGGAAGGACGATGAAAGCAAGCGCTGTAGAACCTACATCCTCACTAGCTCATGACTTGGGGCCGGTTTGGTCTCTCTTTTGCCCTGCGAGAGAGGAGGCGCAAGTTCCCAGGAGCTGGTGGCGGCCGTGCACGCTTCCTTTCAACTCTGCATGCATGCATATACATGTATACACACGATTTATAGGTACTGTATGCGCAAATACACCACCTTGTAAGCATTGCACAGCTCCCAGCAGCTCGCCCCCGAGGCCAACGCCCGCAACGTCATAAATGCGCCCACTAAAACACCGGCGCGTCGCTCCGGGTCCTACGACACGGCCTTGAACTCCGAGCGGGAGCTGCGCCCGTGACGAGTTACCTTGGCAACGCCCTGTCATCCCTCGCTCGGCCCGCTCAGTCCGCCTCCCGGTCCCCTCCGCTGACGGGCCTCCGCGCACAGCTCCAACCGGGACTCCGGACCTTCCGCCTTCCCTTCCTCTCAGCTGCCTCTTCTGCTCCTGCGCGAGGTCCGCCGAGGGAACGGGAGGAGCGACGCGACTTCCGCCCGTCGGGCGTGTTTTTTCCTGGAATGACTCGCCTCTCCCACCCCCACGCGCCGCCGTTCTTTCCCGCCGCCTCTATGGTTCGGAGGACCGTCCGTCTGTGTTTGTGCTGGGGGAGCGGCGCGTGTGCCTGACTTGCTGAGACGTGGCTGCGGTGGGGACGGGGAAGGCCTCTGGCGGGTGGAAACCGACGAGGCGGAGGCGGCGGACCGCGAGTTGCCCGGTGGTTTGTTTGTGTTGCCTGTAAGTTGCGCGACTCTCCTCTACGTGTCCCTGCAACGCCGCCCGCCCTGGGGAGCAGCAGCAATGCTTGGCCGAAACCTTCACAGGAGATGATTGGGGGCGGAGGGCGCCTGTCACCCTTCCCCAAACCAAAGGAGGGAAGTGAGGCTTCCCCTTCAGGGGTGGGGAGGTCTCTCTGTTGGGGTCCCTCCCTGTGACGGGGCTTTCCCCGTCCCGACCTCTTGAAGCAGGGCCTGCCTGTTGAGCATCCGCGGGAGGGAGGAGCGAGAGCCCCGGTGCGAAATCCCTGACCCACTTGCGGGTTTCCAGGGGCGCTGCGGGTTTTGGGGGTCCCTCTTCTCTCCCCCCCCCCACTGACCCACCCACACCGTTCTCCATTTGAAAGCAGCTCCATAAAGCGGGTGTTTTCTCATAAGCGTGGAAAAAGCAACCTCTCGCTCTGTTTGCCCGCTGTAGCCTCAGGTTGATCTTTACGGTATCAACAGATGCTGCATTTCCAGTACTTGCTGTCCGCCACTTTCCGGTAACAATTGTTACACACACACACACTTTTGTTTTGCTTTGTTTTTCATGGTCCTAAGACATAGCTTGTAAAAAGTCCTTTTTGATTCACGTTTAGCTTAGCCTTGCAAATAAGCGCACGAAAGTTAGAGGCCTGCCAAGAAAAGGAGGTTTTTTTAGTAGTCTGCTGGGTGTTGCCCAAGGAGGGGCAGAGATCACTAGCCTTCCTGCAGCAGCATCTTGTGTTTCTGTGACTCCAGAGGGGAGGAGAAGGCAGCTTCCCTGGTTTCTATACTAGGTGCAGAGTTCCTCCTCCAACAGCTCCCTCACTCACCCATATGGTATTCAATGCATTTGCCTATATGTCGTTTCTTGCCACCTGTATAGCTACCAGGCTATGAGTTTGACTGAACTGCGGGAGGCAGTGGAAGACAGGAGTGCCTGGCGTGCTCTGGTCCATGGGGTCACGAAGAGTCGGACACAACTAAACAACTAAACAACAACAAAGCTACCAGGCTAGTGTTTAAGCAGAAGGCTATTTTAGCTGCTGCCTAATACCCCCACCCTGAATAAAGCCAGTTTTCCTCCCTTCATTTTTATTATTCACAACAGTGTTGTATACAACTGAACACACTGATGTCATTCAGTAATGTTAAACTGTAATAGAAGGCTGACAGGTCACTTGGGGGGTAAGTGATATGACCTGAGAAGAGCAAATGTTTGGGAAATGGGCTGTCTGCCCTGTGTCATGCACATGGACAGAGAGAGGAAGAGACATATTTGTGCTTCTGCATATGTGAAGTGTGTGTGTGAGCGAGAGAGAGAGAGAGAGGGGGGGAGAGAATATGGTATGGTCATCTTTTATTTCCCCCCACGATATTGGGGAATGCTCCCCGATGTTGTTAGCACACACACACACACACACACTCACACTGATGTTGTTTCTGTCTGTCAGTATTGTGTGATCTTCCCAATAAGGACCAGCAGGACATAGCTGACTTTCTATGACAAGCATTGTCATGTTTGATACAGCAGAGGCTTTCATGAAGAAAAAACGGGAGTGGAGTGACTTGTGTGTATCAGTCCCTGTCTCCTGAAGACCTCTGCCCCACCAGTCAGCCCTCTAGAACAGACAGGGGGGAGAGGCACACGAATCTTCAGAGCGAAAGAGGCAAAAAATTGCCTCTTGCCTTCTGTTTATGGAAGTTTTTGCTGGATCAAAGAGCCATTGGTGAATGGGAGGACACTTCAAGTCCAAGTGGTGGTCCCTATTAGAGCAAGTGCATTTTTAAAATGTAGATGTAGGTATGAGTAGGGAAAACATTAATACACTTCTCTCTGCTCTATAGAATACATCTTGGAATGCACAACAATCTTAAGAAAAATGTTTTGAGTAGCTACTGTACTAACTGGGCCATGTAATTTCATTATGTAGAATTTCGCAACTGGATATAACCTGGATTTTAGATCCCCTATACGCTGGGACTAGTAGTGAGCAATGGTGGGAAGTTTTCAACTGCTATATTTTTCGACGGAAAATACTTTGATTTCAAAATGCATTGTCTCATAGAATTAGTATCATAATGTGTATGTGTTTTAACAATAATTCTTTATAAATCTAGGGTATGCTGTGGTCATGTCCCAAAAGGATAATGAACCCTTGAATGAAGTTGCTCATGAACTAGAGGAAAATGTTCAGAAGACAGAGGAGGCAGAACCCACTGAGACTAATGGAGAGGAAGCTGAGCTTGTGGCTATGACACGGAAAAGGCCTGAAGCAAAAATCTCTGAGCCCAGTATTGTACAACAGCCACTGGGTCAGAATGTACAGGTATTGGTGCTAAGCCTGCTATCAGTAAATTCTCATTTACCCCAACAACATTCACATTTTAATATTATACATTCCCTATACATTCAAATGGGCCAAGAAGATCCATTTGAATGAAGTGTGGAACTGTGAGATGTGGATATCTGTGTTCTGCATTTGTCCTGTGTGCTAAATAGTAAGGTGCATCGTTAACATTCATCTTGTTGGACCTGTTTGAGACATAGGGAAAGCAGGAGTCAGACTTGTGTAACTTATGATGGGCTAAGAAGATGTGGATGGATGTAGCAGCGGACAGCACAGTGGCAAAACCCTGTTGTTGATTTTGCTACCTTACTCAGTCAGAACTGTGAGAGTCAGTAAAGGCTGAGACAAACTGAGTGCTTTAAGCAGGATGGAACCTGTCAAAAGGGATACAAGCAATGACCTGCGTTCTTCTCTGCTTAATTTTCGTTTAATTAATTATTTTTTAAATTATTTAATAAAACGATGTATGGTGGAATCTAACACTGCTTGAGCGGGTTCCTGCTAGTGCAATGAGACTTCGCCTTTCTCTCCTCCCCATATACACCCACAATCTGCTCTGGACCCCCCAGAGCTGTGGTTGCTAATGTGGGGCACATGCCCCACAGGGGGCAACTTTATTTTTAAGGGGGACAATTCAAGAATGACTTGTTAGCAGTTAATGGCCTTTTAGGTTTCCTCCATGTTCACTTTTTGAATAATAAGAATGATATGTCATGGGGGGGCATCAGGATTTTAGAGTTGCTTAGGTGGGGCATGGCTAAAAAAAGGTTGGGAACCACTGCCCTAGAGCATATTTTGAGGGCATGTGCCTTTTACCAGCTTTGCCTGGTTTGCCAGCTATGACCGTGTCTGGACTGGGATAACTTGGCCGCTGTAGACCATGCATTGGTAAGTAGCTAGTGCAGAATGCAGCAGCTAGACTGCTGATGGGGGCAGATGGCCAACAGCATGTGACACCTCTTTAAAACATATATACTGGATGCCCATATGGCAAGGTTCAAGACTCTTGTGTTGCTATAAAAATTCCTGAATGACTTGGTTTTCCTGTCTGGAAATGAATTTTGGTTAAACTGGATGTTTAATTTCAATAGTATGGTTGGCAATGTCCTTTTGTTTCTTCCCCAGAGTTCCAGTTCCATGGAAGAGTCGCAGACAGGATGGGGTTACTGGGGGAGCTGGGGAAAATCATTGCTCTCGACTGCTTCTGCTACAGTGGCTACTGTAGGTGAGGCTGCCTGAAACCTAAGCTATACAATCCGAATTAAATAAATTGGGTCTGCTCGAAATTGCTTTTCTTTTTCGCCTTTAGAAGTTAAAAGTGACAAGTGCAAAATGTTCTATATAGAAAACAACAGAAGAAAATTAATTAGTGGCAGATTAAACATGGTAAAAATGTAAGCAGCAGCACAGAAGTTGAAAGGTTGCAATGTGTGCTGTCTCTTAAACAAAGGAAAAAGAGGGAAATTTTAAGCTACTGGCTTGATTGGGCAATTCATTGTGCTTTTCAAATGCAGCATACTGCCTGGAGCAATTCATCTTGCTGACTTGGCCTCTGCTTGCTTGGTGAAGTAATTCATTTTACCTTTGGACTAAAGTAACATATCTGCTTTCTTTAGGTCACGGACTCTCAAATGTCATTGAAAAAGCAGAGACATCCCTTGGGATCCCCAGCCCTACTGAATTATCTTCTGAGGCTAAAGATGTTGGGGAAGGTTGGTTTCTATTAAAAATATATAAACTATTTGAAGTTTGCCACTTGTGGTACTATGATGGATGTTGTTGTTTTAACGCTATTACTTCTTGTACAAGGGAATCTGTTATATATTTCCATAGAAGCTGCTATTTTGCTGTCACTAGTTTACTTACCAGTTGTGAGGCTCTTCATAAGTCTCAGCTTCCCTTGCCTCCTTTTATCCAAGACATACACAAAGGAATGGGAGCTACAGCCCATAGCCTATGTCTTATCTTGCACTGGCACCTCCTGTATGGCTGTGGGAGATGCCTTTGCACATGGGGATTCTTTGCTGTATGGTGTGAATGACTACTGGTCCCAATCAAATTAAATGCATATTTCTCAGCTTATTGCATGTGAAACTACTGGTTTAGATTGGCTGGGATCCAAATAATTACTATTTCCTGCCAACCTAGCAGTTCAAAAGCACATCAGTGTGCAAGTAGATAAATAGGTACCACTCTGGCGGGAAGGTAAATGGCGTTTCTGTGTGCTGCTCTGGTTCACCAGAAGCGGCTTAGTCATGCCAGCCGCATGACCCGGAAACTGTCTGTGGACAAACGCCAGCTTCCTCGGCCAGTAAAGCGAGATGAGCGCCGCAACCCCAGAGTCATCCATGAC